AGGGAAAGAAAAAAATTCTCTGTCATGAGAGATTGGACATAAAAGTCCTTTTCGTGGATGGGTCTAGATCAATGGACTCTGCATCAGTTTTATAATAAGTAAATTTATAGGTGGGAGATCAAGATGGCGGAATAGAAGGACATGGAGCTCAATGATGCATGCCCACAAATACATCAAAAATACATCCATATGTGGAATAACTCTCACAGAACACCTACTGAATGCTGACAGAAGACCTCATACAGCCAATGCTGCGAGAAAGATCACCGTGTAACCAGGTAGGACAAAAGAAAAAAAAAGAAAGCAGGATGGGACCTACACCCCTGGGAGGGAGCTGTGAAAGAGGAAAGGCTCCCTCACCCTGGGAACTCCCTTCACTGGCTGGGAGATCAGCTGGGACAGAAAGGGAGCTTCAGAGGCTCAGAGGAGAGTGCAGCAACCAGCTTACAGCTGGCAGGAGAGAGAGACACCAGCACACCCGGTCCTGGCCACCTTACTGCACTCCCCAGCCCAAGACATGTGTCTCCTGGTATGAGTGGAGGCTGGGTGCTGAAACTTGGGCTTCAGTGGACAGACCTTGGGAGAGGACTGGGGGTAGCTCTGTGGAGAAGCTGGAGGGGCTGGAGTGTGGCCTGGGCTGCAACTGGGGCTGTGTGCAGGATGAAGCCTGGGTCCACCAAAGAAGCCCCACTGTTAACAAGCCCTTGAAGGGAGGAGTGGGGCACCGCCAGAGCAGCCTCACCCTCACAGTGCTCGAAGTGGGCAGGGCTCCGCCTCTACGAGTTCTGGGAGCACGCCAGTGCCTGCAGTTGCCCACACACAGAGGTGGGCTGAAATCTGAGCCCCGTCGGGAGACTTTGTGACTGGTGGATTTACGCTGCTGGCGCCTTTGTCAGCTAAACAACTGTGGGACATCCGAGCAGATGCTGGTACTCCAGTATCTGGCACGGGGCTAGAGTTAGCAGCTGCGAACTTTGTGGACGCATGAATGTGGAGGTGGGGCCAGGGTCTGTGCCAATTCTGTAGCTCCCACAGTGGGTCCAGGTGCACGACTATGGGCAACTAAGGAAGGTCCCGGTGCCTGCCTTCAGGGAATCTGTGCCAATGGATCGGCACTGGTGGCTTTGTGAGCACAGCACCTGAGGGACATCCAGGCTGATTGCCTGCATTCCCATGGCTGAGGAGGACCTGAGGGCAGTGCCAACAATGGTGTACTTTCTGAGCACGCACAATGGGTGACAGATGACACCACAGAGCACACTTGCCAGTGGACAGATCCTGAGGAGGAATACTCAGTGACTCCCAGTGGGAGTGCTCCAGTACTGCCTACCTCACACCACAGCTCAGAAACAGACCTGGGGGCTTCTACTCCAACAACTGGGGAGCAGACCCTGTCCCAACAAGGCTGTGACAAGCACAGAGCAAAGAGGAGGCCCCACTCAACTTCCAGTGCAGGCTCTGGTCACCACAGAAACAATAACACCCCCTATCAAGGGGATAACAACCAGCATACATGGAGGAAAGACATGGCAGGCATCCATACTAAAAACAGTCCTTGCACCAAAAATATTAGACTCACACAGACTACAAAGGGAGGCTTTCACATAAAAACAGCCATTCAAGACCACCGCAGATAACTGTTTCTCCTAAATTCACACAGTCAAAGAAATATAAGGAACACAAAGAAGCAGAGGAGAGTCATTGACAGGAAGACACTGGATCTCACCAAAAAAGATACCCTGCATCCAAAGAAAGAAGAAGCCACAATGAGACTGTCGGAGGGGTGCAATCACAATAAAATCAAATCCTATAACTGCTGGGTCGGTGACTCACAAACTGGAGAACATTTATACCACAGAAATCCACCCACTGGAGTGAAGGTTCTTAGCCCCATGTCAGGCTTCCCAACCTGGGGGTC